CAATTAACTACTAATTATAAGTTAATTTAACTTTAATTTACAGAAACCCGTAAACATATACAGGTGTCAGAAAAGTATGGGGGACAAATTATAAAAAATAAACAGTTTTTGTTGTGAAATAGCCAAAAAATAATTAGACCTTGCCACCAATAACCTCAACAATTATCATTTAATTTGCCATTATTAATCTTAGTTTATGTCCCACTTCCATATGAGGTCGGCACTGACTCTGACATCATCCATTCTCTGCATGTTACTACTGCGAGGGCGCATGTATTTCCTCCGCTTAAATCAATCATCTCAATAAAACTAGCGTGTTAAACCGGGGTGGCGTCGTGGTGCCTCTTTGATAAATAAATTATATGAACAACAAAGTTTGCGTCATTGTTTGAGACGTGTATTTAACATGAATGCTTTGTCTTTATTATATTATTTATTTACGTACATGCTATACTTACTTACTTTACTTCCTTCCCTGTTCTTTACTTTCCCTGTGTTTTCAAATATAAAAAATATCTTAAATTAAGTGGAATGATACATATATTCTACTTAAAATGGATAATTTTAACTTAATGTATCTAATGTTACAAGCGTGTTGGATGCTACCATCTATTAGCTTGTAAGCAAGTATCCTACAAATTAATTTTATAAGATACTTATTCATTCATTCATAAAAAATCATATTTCTTTTGTTGCGGGGATTTATTTAAATATTAATAAGGATTATTTAAATAACGGCAGGTAAATGTACTTTTTCTTCATATAGATGATACAGATTTTCGAAAATCTGCAAGACTGTAATATATCCAGAAGCAAGTGTGAAATATGGACAGTTAGTATTTAATTGTGATCTTAGAAAAATAGATCCATGTCGAGAATTTGCACTATAATTAATTGTATTGCCTGTGGTGTTTATTTTGTTCTTACATTTCATCTCGCCGCAAGCCACTGCGGTTATATTGCTATTAGGGCGTAATTATATAATGAACTTTTATAGTAATTTACATATATTTGTAACTACGTATTATTTTATCAAACAAAGATAATAAAACCCTCCAGCAAAGAAATATATAATTTTTCTCCGCTTTAATATTAATATTTTATAAATTATAATTTAACGTGGCTTTGTTGCTCGGATTAACATGGAGAATCCGTAATCAGCTTATCATTTACCAAATAGCCATTTAGTTGAATTTTTATAGTTTTAATTATTAACTATGTAAATTAATCTCGAAAAAGAACAACACTCATAACACTGGTTCCCAAAAATAAGAAATTCTTCTGAGTTCTTGAATTTTTTAAATCCTATGTTACAATTTCATTTACATATATATATATATATATATATATATATATATATATATATATATATATATATATATATATATATATATATATATATACTTGTATACATAAGTTATAAAGTCTGGATTGGGGGCGACTTAATAATTCAATCCCCAGAAAACACAAGTTTGCGCGCTTACCGCTATAATGAACCCCTTTATCGTATCTCCTCAGTTTCAAGGCACTCCCCTTGTCGCCTCAGCCAGTATCGGAATCCTTGGCGTCGACATATCGAAGAATGTGCAGTGTCGTGTTTACCTGGAAAAGAAGGCCAAATTGGCCTCTAAAAATATTGATGTGCGCAGCAGAGCGGCACAGTATTTCATGCTGGAACACCGCCTGCAACTTTACAGGGCGCAGGTTCGGTAACACATTGACTACTGTTCCCATCTCTGGGCAGTGTCTCCCCAGTGCCAGGTCCTTCCATTTGACCACATCCAGCGCAGAACGGCTCGAACTGTCGACGACCCAGTCCTCTCCGATTGGCTCGATACAATGGCGCTGCGAAGAGATGTTTCATCTCTTTACATTTTCTATCGCATCTACCACGAGGGTTGATCGGAGGAATTGTTCGGATTAATCCCAGCCACCAGATTCACAAACGCAGATCGCGACAAAACTCACGATACAATCCACACCATCTGGATGCTTAGCGGTCCACCAATGTATGTTTTACTAGGAGTTTTGTGCCTCGTACGACCCCTATGTGGAATCGTTTACCACCGGCGATTTTCCCGAACCGATACGACTTAGGGACTGAAGGTTTATTTTTAATGTACAACACATTGAACATTAAAAATCGGGAAAAGAGCTTACTCCTTTCTAAATGGCCGGCAACGCACTTACAATTATTCTGGTGTTGCAGTTGATCATGTGCGGCGGTAGTCACTTTCCATCAGGTGAGCCGCATGCTCGTTTGCCCCCTCTTCTATATTATTTTTTAAATTAGTATAATGTTTTTAACGTCATATTTAGTAAGAGTGGTGTGGAAATCTCAAAGTAATAAGTGTAATTACTCTAAGGTGGAAATATCTACTGTCATTGACTTCAGTGTATTGATATATTTAATGTAGAGATTTTATTGTAAAATTTAATGCATTTATGATAGTTCCCTTTTTAAATAAAATTATTATTATTTAGTGCTTAATAAAATTAAATTTACGGTCTACAGTAAAATTATGATGTCATGCAATTTTCGTCAGTAGCGTAAACTCCATTGACCTTGGTACCTCTATCCACAGATTGGTACAGTTATGTCTGCTTATTTCTTTGGTTTATTAGAAGTCTTGGAGTGGGTGGTTTGTCACAGTCTGATACAGACCAGTTGACAAACATAATTGAAAACATTTCTTTTATAAAATATAAATATTTATTCATATTTATAAAAATTGATATATATATAGATATATACTTGTATTATATAACGTGGTAGTCAGTGGTTAAAAAATACGCTCGCTGTAAATATAACAGATAACGCGAGTAACCTGGGTTCGATCCCCGCCGGCACCAATAAATTGTTAATTGCAATTTTAAGTGGCTGATTTACACTGTCCGTGAAGGAAAACCATCGTGAGGAAACCTGCAATTGTCTGAGGAATAACGAATTAAAAATTATTTCGAAGGTATGTGAAGTTCGTCAACACGCATTTGGGCAGCGCGGCGGACACTTCCTTGCCCTAAACCCTCTCAGAAATGAGAGGAGGCCTGAGCCCAGCAGTGGGACGTATAGTTAGGTGTAACTTTACTTTTACTTTATATATATATATATATATATATATGTAGAATATACTAGCCTGTTTTATAGTTAATTCGGTTGGAAATAAAAAATACGATGCACACACCCTAAGACATACAGATAAAAAGAAACTATAAATATATAGAGATCTTCAATTATATATTTTTATACATAAATTGGCTATAGTTTACACAAACCTATCTAATTACCTGAAATTTATTTGATAAGGAAATTAAACACAGAACTTTAAGCTAAAAAACAATGCTATTTTATTATTTCATCCGGCTAATAAATTGGTCCAATGTTTTTTTCCACATGCAAAATTTTTACCTCTACAATTGCTTAATTTATGCTTCACAATTCCTATTCCTCATTGAGCGTTTATTTTAAGAATACAACCAAATTGATATACGGTCCACCTGCGACCTTCTAATTCGTTTCGCGACTTTTACTCACACCGAACGCCACAGCTTATTCAGACATTTTCATAGTATATGTCTACTGGTTTAAATTATACTGTAATAATATATCTAGGCGATCTAATCAAGTCTTTCAGTTGAGCTATCTGATCGCGTGTGGATCGTTGCGTGTCGATTTAATCCAGTCTTATACAGTGTAAATGCCTAAAAATAATGCAGTTCTTGTTTATAGAAAGCGAACCATAGAAAGGACTTGGCAAAATGTGTGGTTGTCAGGTTGTGACGATTTCTGAAATTTATATTTCCTTTCGATTATTATTTTATATTTTCTGGTTCCTGTTTTTAACGAAACAAAAGAGTTTAAGTCTCATACATTTTTAGGATTGCAAAAAGTTATTTGCATGTTATGACACTATGAATATATTATGTTATAGAAAAATAGAACAAAAAATATTTTAAAAACCTATTGTTTTCTAAAATGACCGTCTGTTCAATGTGTGTACATTAAAAATAAGCTTGCGGTTTTCTGCATTGAGAATTCCTTTATATCGATGACTTGCAACGTACGTTTGTAACGAGTGTTTTTTTTAATTTAATTTTGATTTTGTATAATATATTTGTATAGAGTACCGTTTTAATAATAATTTAAAAAATCTTGACTTTCATAAAATAAACTTCCAGTTGATTTGCAATTGATTTTTCACAAAAATCTTTCTTTTCATTACGTCATATCAAAAATGATTTCTGTTTCGACTTCTGTACCTTGTACCTATTTAGATTTGTTAATTCAGGCATTTTAACTGAACTAAAAGTTTTGTTCTTGATTTAATTTATATTTATAACATATGATTGATAAACTAGCTTACATACCACTTGATAGTAAGTGGCTGCTCCAGCATATGGACACCTGCAACCTACTTCAGAAAAAGGTCACAGATGTATTGTCACCCTTGAGACTCACGGCCTATAATTATGCTAGCTTTCTTGCCCTTCGAACGGGATCATAGCAGTGGGTGCACTTTCCACTAGGTCGGTACGAAAACTAATTTATAAATGAAAAGTAGCTCTACCACGTAATACAAGTAATACCAAGTTATTCTACATCTCTTCTAAAAACTACATCAAGTAATTTGTTTTAAAATGTGTACTATTAGCACATGCACCTATTAATAAATATAAACGGTAAATGTGGTGGTAGCGTAAGAGAATTCTTCATCTCATTTCTTCAGTTAGGTGTTGTAAGAGGTGACTATGGGATGACCAAAACATCTCATAGCCTTCAGTAGATGACGGTAAAACTATCTTGATGACGCCAGGCGTAAAAATACCTATACTAGTGACGGAAAGTAACGTCAAAGTTGCGAGACATATGGTATTGCGATGGTCTATCCGGCTTCCAAGCGTCACTAGCACCAGCCCAACAGTCTTTTACGGACTGACAAAGAAGAAGCAGAAAGTAACTTTACTTTATCTTTACAATAATCTATTCACGATCTTTGCAGAGGAATCCAAGAATGCAGCGCGTATCTTCACAGAGCAATCATCCAGCCTGCTGGAAAGGCTGGAGGTGCTTGAGAGACAGCTACATGAACGTATCGCGAGCCACATCCCTCGCGACCTGGATTCACTGGAACACCTGGTGCTGCAGCACAAGGATTGGGAGAGCAGCTTACACACGCTCTCCGGGGATGTGGAGGAGGTTCAGAACACCTTTAGAGGTAATCGAAATTTCTTCTTTATATTGTTTTTTCCTATGTGTTATAAAAACGTAATCTTAAAAAGAAAGAAAAATTATTTTAGAATTTTTTCATTTAAGTGTTTTCATTTTAGGACGTGGGTATAAATATGAATCAAGGCTGTTATTGAAAAAATCACTAAATAAATTTTAATAATTCATTTTGTACGCGGTAGTCACGCTGTAGCACGAATGGGTCGGCTCGACCGGGGAAGGAACACGCTCTCACAGAATACCAGCGTAAAAGAGTAGCTTAATGCTGCTGTGTTTCGTATGGTGAGTGTAGAGAACCCTTTTTACTAGAAGCGAGGCATTCCATCTTAGTCCTCAGGGGTGACAACGCATTTGCATTTTGATTCTCAATTGAGGATAAATGTGGATGTCTATGAGCCACAGTATCCACTTACCATCAGGTGGACTGTGTGCTCGTTTTTCACTCAATGCTATAAAAAAATTATATCATTGCTGCCAGCATAAGCTCTATTATTAATTATTAAATGCAAAAAAAGTCTTCTCTCTTTGCGTTTGAGGAGCCCTCCCTCAATTGCGTGCACTAATCCACATCACCACTAATCCATGTACCACTACTCCCATCACCACTATACCAGGAAAGACACACCACGCCTCTACATGAGGCAAAACAGCTGTTACGGCTGTTCCGATCGCAGCTTACTTAGCGGTTAGCCACCGCAGTATAATTCACCTGAGTATGCTTTAAAAGTGCACTCTGTGAATATGTTCAAGATCGTCCCCACCATTACATCGGATTTGATAAACTACAAATCCTCGCAAAAGGACATCGATTCCTACCAAGGATGATACGCATGACTATTGAAATTAAAAAACATCCTAATTTCAATAGAGAAGATGGATTGGTGCTGCCATCTGCTTGGGATCCTTTGATTTGGAGATTGGGGGAATAATAAAGTTAAATATAAAGCCCAGAATACTACTGCAAGACTTTAAGTGGGGGGGGGGGGTGCTCTTCAATCTAGATAAGACACATCATTGTATTTAATTAAGCGGATGTAAGTATATCCAGCAGTGAGTGCATTTTTTATAGTATGAGGGTGGCAAACGAGCACACAGTCCACCTGATGGTAAGTGGTTGCTGTGACCCATAGACATCTACATCTATCCTCAATAACGAATCAAAATGCAGATGCGTTGTCACCCGTCAGGACCAAGATGGAATGCGTCGCTTCCAGTAAACAGGGTCTCCGGTACTCTACACTCAACAAACGAAACACAGCAGTTTAGCTGCTATTTGACGCTGGTATTCTGTTGGTATTCTTCCTCGGTCGAGCCGACCCATTCGTGCTAGAACTATATACCAGTAATATAGCTGCAGCATGGCTCTACCACGTAAATCATAATTATCATGATTATCATTACAGCGGATGGACTGGAACTGTGGAAATATCTGCCATAGTTTATCAGAAAGAATTTGGTGCCCATCGCCTGTTTCGTATCCCTCTGTCTCCTCTTACGACACCCACTCGTTGATATGGAATAGTTGATTCTCTTACTCTTACGAACAATTATTACTTAGTAGTAAGTAGCTAATTGAAATCTAAATCTCTTTCTTCTTTCACAGGCATCGCCCTCAAGACCCCGGCTATGAAGAAGAGCCTGGATAAGGTCATGGGCAAATGGAACGACATGCAATCAAAGAGCCAACTGTTCGTCGAGAGGTACGTTGATAGATATTTTTTATAGCTTAAGCAGTTTTAAAAATATTAGTGTTTTATATTACTTGAACAAAATTCTAACAGTCCACTTGATGGCAAGTGGCTACTGCCCCCACACGTCACCTCTTACCGACTTTAGAGAAGGCCACGTATGTGCTATCACACTCGACTACTAAGATGAAATGCTTCACAACCTATAGTTTTCTTGACTTTTTTAATCGTCACACTGAAGCACTCTGCATTGGCTGTAGAAAAGATCCTAAGTTACTTGATCGGACGGTGTAATAATAATAATGTCCTCCAGACCGAATTTCGGTCACGGCGGCCTGCCTCAACGGAGGCTAGCCATCGACGCAGGACAGAATTATAGTGCCCAAGTGTATGCGCAAGCACAAGTGCACTCTCTATTGCCTCACTCTCATGGTCCGTTTTGACGGTAAATCGACACAACCGGAGAGAGATTAGGCGCAGGATCAACGGCTTTACGTGCTTTTCGAGACACGGGGGTGAGACACTGCCAACTTACTGACTCCTGGCATCTACTGAGAATTTCTTGACGGAAAAACTCAATAATTAATTTTTTGGCCCTACCCGGGATTCGAACCCAGGACCTCATGGTCAGCAGTCGCACTACTACAACCACTAGACCAACGAGGCAGTCAGACGGTATAAAATATCATTCAGTATATAATCGTTATAAAAACATTAAAACATATTGTTTAATAATTTAAATCTAATACTATATGTATTGTAATTTATTTCATCAGATTGCGCTAAACTTTGTCAACTTATTACTTGTACTTGCGCGAAGGTTATAGGCATAGTACTATTAACTTACAGTAGTAACGCGAGTATCGTATCGACAAATTTATTTGAAAGTTATGTATCAATCAATTTCATTAAATGTATTATCATCCCTAATTAAACGATATAACTCTTCAAATTTAACACGATATTTGCACAAATACTTCTTCTGCGGCAGCAAAGCGGCGTACACCTAGTTAGTCCATTACATAGCATTACAGCTAGTCAATCATAAAAAATGGTCAAAATAGTGACGTCAATTATGTCAATAGAGATGACGACTGTTGCACAGTTGCTAAGAAAATTAATTCATGCACGGAAAAACCGTTCATAATCCCTATCCGGTCTAAGTGTTTGTAAACGCCTACATTTGCTTGACTGTCTATTTATATAAAAAAATAACTAACAACTTTTTACAGGCTGAAGTTTGTCGAGATCGTTGTGAACAGTATGGAGGAGAACAATCAGACGATATCCGAGTTCGAGATGAAACTCGCCCAATTCCACGAATTGCCCAACGATGTGGAATTGCTGAAAGACGTGAGTATTATATTTTCAGCTTTATTGCGACTGTAATAGATGCTATTTTAGTAGGATATGTAAGCAACACGGTTGTAACTGTATAGCGAAAATATACCGCTTATTATTGACATTTTTCAATGAAAATGTATTACTAGCGTAAGATATAACAATTTTTGAGGCTGCGGTATTTTAAAATATTGTTTTTTTTTCGGTCAATTCTTATTGTACCATCTAGGGCTTAGGAGTCCAAGTTAGGACTGCTTACCAGCAGGTGGGATTACGTTCAAGCATTGGCTTATAATAAGTAAAAAAGTCAATTGTAGTTTACTCTTTACATTGTAAAATTTTACTTCTGGCATAAGAACGATATTTACATCTTTGCTAGGGAATTATTTGCGATGTGTAACGATCCTGTTACACCGCCACCATACAATAATTCCCTGGCAAAGCTATGTTTAATATAAAAAAATTGTAGGTTTTCTCTGGATGACCAAACGTATTTTATCAAACCGTTTAGCCGCACCTATTATATATATATATATATACAAAATATTATGTCCAGCTGTGGACATGAGATAGGCTGTAGTTATAATGATGTTGTGGATTTACCAAAAATTATTTAATAATCAACTGCTCAATACTTTTTAATAATTTATTACTTTGCAATGTGTTCGGTAAAATTTTTGTTCTACTTATTTTTATAATTTTATTTTATATACAGTCCCATCGTAGTACTTAACCTTGTTTAAGTTTGAGCAATACAAATAAAAAGGCTTAAATAAAAATTATGCACGCATATGCCTCACATAATGTAGAAGCCGCCAATGTCAACTCTGAATACTGTATTTGTATCCTGAAAGAGTCTAATTAAAGGCATCTTCATCATGCATACAGCAAAAGGGTGGAATAAGTTACCAGTCTCTGTCTTTCCATCCAATTACTATGTGGGTGTTTTCAAGGCGCGGGTGAATAGGCTTTTGTTAAGTCAGTGCGCTTCACCATTTGAGGCTACCATCACATCACCACTTACCATCAGGTGCGATTGTAGTTAAGCGCTGACTTAGAAAAGTAAAAATAACCTAACCACGTTTCTCATTGACACCTTCCAAATTATTTTAAGCTGTCATAAGAGTAACACCTATGAGTTTCGATGATATCTGATAAAATGACGCGTACACTTTGTCCGATACCCAATCAAAATAAATTCATATTGTATCCATTCTACTACTCGCCTTTTCCAACAGATGCACGAAGACCTGCTACGTATGCAAGTGGCGGTCAGCAAGCAACAAGTCCAGATCGATCAGATGAACGACGACGCTGAGAACTGCAGGCGTCTGGTGGAGAGCTCGAGGGCTGGGTTGCCACACAGCTCACTGCCCAGGGCTGGGAAACACGTAGACCTAGAAAGGCTGGATAAAGAAGTGTCACAGCTGAACAATAGGTGGAATAGTGTGTGCAGTCAGCTGGCCGAAAGGTTGATACTTTTAGCGTTGTTTTCATTATTTAAAAGAAACATTTTTTTTAGTTTTAAGGAATTTGAAAACACAAATACCGATTTCTTTATTCAGACAATGTTACCATTTTTAGGGTTCCGTAGTCAACTAGGAACCCTTATAGTTTCGCCATGTCTGTCTGTCCGTCTGTCCGTCCTCGCTTAATCTCTGTGACCGTTAGCACTAGAAAGCTGAAATTTGGTACCAATATGTGTATCAATCACACCGACAAAGTGCTAAAATAAAAATTGGAAAAAAATGTTTTATTAGGGTAGCCCCCCTATATGTAAAGTGGGAAGTGATTTTTTTTTTTAATTTCAACCCTAACGTGTGATATATTGTTGGAAAGGTATTTAAAAATGAATAGGGGTTTACTAAAATCATTTTTTGATAATGTCAATAATTTCGGAAATAATCGCTCCAAAATTAAAAAACAATGTGTCCCCCCCCCTCTAACTTTTGAACCATAAGTTTAGAAAATATGAAAAAAATCTGGAAAGTAGAACTTTATAAGGACTTTCTAGGAAAATTATTTTGAACTTGGATGGAAAGAACAGTTTTTGTACAAACTCATAAGTGGGAACACTTACTGTGACGGACGGAAAACTACGGAACCCTACACTGAGCGTGGCCCGACACGCTCTTGGCCGCTTTTTTAGGGTTCCGTAGTCAACTAGGAACCCTTATAGTTTCGCCATGTCTGTCTGTCCGTCTGTCCGTCCTCGCTTAATCTCTGTGACCGTTAGCACTAGAAAGCTGAAATTTGGTACCAATATGTGTATCAATCACACCGACAAAGTGCTAAAATAAAAATTGGAAAAAAATGTTTTATTAGGGTAGCCCCCCTATATGTAAAGTGGGAAGTGATTTTTTTTTTAATTTCAACCCTAACGTGTGATATATTGTTGGAAAGGTATTTAAAAATGAATAGGGGTTTACTAAAATCATTTTTTGATAATGTCAATAATTTCGGAAATAATCGCTCCAAAATTAAAAAACAATGTGTCCCCCCCCCTCTAACTTTTGAACCATAAGTTTAGAAAATATGAAAAAAATCTGGAAAGTAGAACTTTATAAGGACTTTCTAGGAAAATTATTTTGAACTTGGATGGAAAGAACAGTTTTTGTACAAACTCATAAGTGGGAACACTTACTGTGACGGACGGAAAACTACGGAACCCTACACTGAGCGTGGCCCGACACGCTCTTGGCCGCTTTTTTTAATTACGTCCGAGTTAATTTTTTTAATACAAAGTATTCATTTGTCAACTTTCGACGACTTCATATTAAACGATTTAATGCCGTCGCAATCTGTTCAACTTCGAATAGTAATTTACATCTACACTTCTACACTCCAATATTATAAAGAGATTGTTTGAATTGAGTAGGCTCCAAAACTATTGGACCAATTTGAAAAATTCTTTCACCATTGAAATCCCACATTTTCAAAAAAGTTAGGGAACCGTATGAAAACTTCGTTAATGTAACCCACGGTGGTGGAGCCACGTGTTTAAGGCTGCCGAAAATCTAGTTCCCCGGTCAAACCTCAAACCTATTACGCGAGATATTAACTAAAGTGGACTGTATATGCGATTGCTTCTACGCTTACGTTAAAAGCGACTACTATAGCATGCGGTACAATGCACTCGCTCTTCCCTAAACTAAACTATTACTTGTCGAATCGATGAAAGGAATCCTGCTTGACTAGGAAAAAAAACACAGATTGGAGCGGGTTAAATTATTAGCAAGCAGGTATAATTAAGGAGTATTGACTCACCGGGGTTTCTTCTTCCTGTCGATCACTATAGCGGCGACTTCCGGAACCTCCTCTGGACAGACACTTCTGGGGCCCCAGTGGTGCGTCAGGAGAGAAGCGTTGGTTCAACGACGACTGCGGCGGGAGAAGAGAGCGCGCGTCGGTTGCGCGTGTCTTATATATCCTCGGGTCCGATGATTACGCGATGTTCTAGAATCGTCTTCTTTCCCCTCCCACCCCACCACCCCGATGTGTCGATAGGAGGGTACGAATGATATTGTTTCGGAAGGGAATAATGATTCGACAAGTTCCTACCGTCAAAAATAAAAAACGCGAATGGTTTTCCGCGCAACCATCTCCCCCCGCACTTGAAGGATTTCCTTCAAAAAAAAATAACTAAACAACTAGAGCTAAGATCGACTAACAAATAACTAACTAACGCTAAGATTACCTAAATTAAACTACAATTTCAGTCTAGAAAGCTAATTTAAATTATGGAAGAGGCAAGGGGCACAAACGGATAACCGGACGTAGGTAAGACCCAACCGTGGTCTTAACGCGAGCTATCCTAATTACTCCGTCGGAACCGGGAAAGACCTCCTCGACGATTCCTAACGGCCAGTGGAGAGGCGGCGTATTCTCCTTAGTGAGCACAACTACGGTTCCTACAGCTAAAGGCTCTGTCGCTGTGTTCCATTTTTGCCGAGACTGCAAAGTATGCAAGTATTCCATCCTCCATCGTTTCCAAAACGATTGCACTAACCGATCTAATAATTTGTGGCGTGTGGAAATGCTAAGTCTGTTCTCATCCACATCCGCGGCGGGCAGATACCTTAGAGGCGTTAAAGTCAAAAAATGTGCTGGAGTTAGAGCCAGCGGTTCCGAGGGGTCACTAGATAACGTCCGACAAAGTGGGCGGCTATTCATTACGCATTCAATTTGAGCGAGCACCGTACTTAGCTCTTCGAAGGACAAAATTTGATCTCCTATTACTCGGTATAAGTGGCTCTTTAGACTTTTAATATTAGTCTCCCAATTGCCCCCAAAATGACTCGCGGCTGGGACGTTCAGAGACCACTCAATGCGGTTCTCGGCTAGAATGTGAGCGAACTCCGAATTATAATACTTGCTAGCTAAGAGCTCATGTAGTTCCGATAGAATACGTTTTGCACCGACGTAGTTCGTACCGTTATCCGAATATAATCTACTTACAGGGCCTCTGCGCGATAGAAATCTTTTAAATGCACCCATAAAGCCTGCTGTGCTTAGATCACCAACGAGTTCTATATGCACTGCTCGAGGAGTTAGACATACGAAAATGCAGACGTAAGCCTTTGTGGATCTTATACCACGCCCGCGAGTGAGCGTGACCTTAAACGGACCAGCAAAATCAGACCCGGTGTGCGTGAAGGGCTTTACCGATTGTATCACTCTACAAGATCTAAGTTCCGCCATTTCCGGAAATGACGGCTTGGGGCGTGCCCGAAAGCAAGCTATACATCTGTGCACCCGATTGCGTATTAAACTACGTGCAGAAAGAATCCAATAATTCTGGCGCAAGATCGACATCAATAAATCGGGGCCAGCGTGCGAGTTCAATTTATGATGATAATCGACTAATAAGTTCATGATATGGTCTTTACGCGGTAAAACTATAGGGTGCCGTTGGTCGAAACTCAACTGCGAGTTGGACAAGCGTCCACCTACCCTTACAATCCCATCCTGTAAAAATGGCTTAAGGCGTTGAAAGGCGCGACTACAAGCTCTATTCGATTGTAATCTTGTAATTTCTTCAGAGAAGTGTGCACGTTGAAGTTCACGTAATACTAGCGACTCGGCATAGTTGTAATCGGATGCTAAGACATACGAACGTCGCGGTAAAAGCTTCGCGAATCGACAAACGTAAATTACGCTACGCAATAATTTCGACCAGGAGGACAAGCGGTTCGCCAGAGCAATGATTGGAGAAACCTCGCTCGAAACGTTCGCCACTAGAGCGTGTCTCTTCTCTTCCGGCGGTTGTGACACTGACGAAGGTTCGAAATCGGTTATTGGCCATTGTGAGGGATCCAAGTGAACCCAAGAAGGTCCATGGAACCAAAGCGGGTGGTCCATTATTTGCATCGGGGTGAGTCCCCGGGATAGACAATCGGCAGGGTTTTCCTTACCGGACACGTGATAAAAGTTCCGCGTTTCTAACTCGTCTTGGATCTTGGCCACTCGGTTCGCGACAAACGTATCCCAACGGTGGGGTGAAGAATGAACCCAACATAAGGCGATGGTGGAGTCGGAAAAGGCAAATATTCTTTCTATGTGAACTCTATCCCTACATGCGCCGATAACTGTGGTAATAAGCTTGGTGAGTACTAATATTGCGCAAAGCTCTAAGCGCGCCAGAGAGACAACCTTACGGGGGGAGACTCTCGACTTAGAACTAATGAGGCTAATCGAATTTCTACCATTATTCTGGACATGGAAATATACAACGCCCCCCGTAAGCCTTCTCGCTGGCGTCTGCAAATCCAACAACCGTTATGCTGCTATTTCTATCGACATATATATGACGCGGTATTTTAATTTCTCTTAGTAAAGGAAGTTCCTCTCTAAAGCGCTGCCACAATCGAACAATGCTGTCAGGCGGCGAGTCATCCCAATCGCATTCAAATAACCAAAGTTGTTTAATCAAAAGCTTAGCGTATAATACCACCGGAGCTACGAAACCCATGACGTCCCATAATCTAGCAACGCATGACAGTATTGTGCGCTTTGTGCATTTCTCTACGGGCGGATTTACCTTAAGGCTAAACACGTCGGACTCTGGTGACCAACACAGACCGAGCACCCTGTGTGTATCGGAATCGTCGAATTCCTTTATCGCCGAAAGACGGTGTGATAGTGGGATTGTATCTAAAACCGGACGCGAATTACTAGTCCACTTCACAAGATCGAATTGACCCGATTTCATGAGCCTTATAACCTCGGCGGTGGTTAGGGTGGCCTCCTCCACGCTATCGACCGAATACACAAAATCATCCATATATAATCCGCTCTCAATTGCCCTCTTAGCTTTAGGATAAGAGGGACCTTCATCGTGAGCGAGCTGTCTCACCGTGCGTAACGCATGAAATGGGCTCGACTTTAAACCAAAACAAACGCGGTTAAATTCAAACACCATTAGAGGTTCCTTTGGGTTGAAACGATATAAAATGCGCTGGAATCTACGGT